GATCCTTAACTTCCCCAAACCCATTCCATTCTCAACCTCCAACTCTCCAATACCCTCCCATGAAAATCCTAACCCTAGTTTGAGCCTTTTGAGCAAAAGAAGGGGATATTGAGTGCTTTGGAGTGTTCTTAGTGCATTTTGGAGAAGAAGGAGATCTTTGGAGAAGTGTTGGTTGCATTGGAGCATGTAGATCCAGAATTTGTTTACCTTGTTCTTTCTTCTAGAGGTATAAAGTTTGAATCTTGATGATGCATTTGATAGATCTACTTAGTCTTGGGTGTTATGAGATTTTGGTCACTTTAGTGCATAAAGTTTATATCTTGAAAGTTTATGACCTTGTTATGGATAAAGTTGGAAACTTTATCCATCTAAACATCATATTGATTCAGATCAAAAGTTTGGAGACTTGGACTTAATGGATTAAGTTGAAAGAGATGCTCTTTTGGTCCCTTTGAGACTTAAAGTCTAGATCTTGGTGGTTTGGATCATTCTAATGGATAAAGTTGGAAACTTTATTCATTATGGAGCTATTAGGATCCATAAAAATGTGATCTTGGTCCTTCTATTCCTTCCATGCAAGTGTCATGATGTCTTAATGAATTAATAAGTTAGGGTTTTGGCTTTCGGACATTTTATAGACATGGAAAGTCATAAAGGTGGAAACTTTATGACTTAGAATGATGTTGTGGGACTAGATCTGAGTGTTGGATGAAAGGAAACACTTAATGGAAAAGTGCCATCTAACTGAGTACGTTGGGCTTACTCATATGGGGTCTCGATTATGGATGGTGAGTACACCATACATACGAGCTGAGTACACTGGAACTACTCAGCCTGAAGTTTGACTTTCGTTAAACGTTGACTTTTGTCCAAGTTTGATCGTGGGTCAAACTTGAGGATTTTGGGCTATTAATTATGATTTTATATGGTTATGGTGTTAGTAGATTCGCGGGTGCAAGCAGTGCAGAGAAGGGATCGTACGTAGTGTTTCAGAGTTCTTCATTTTAGGTGAGTTTTCTCACTGTGCTTGTGGGTCGAAGACACCAATGCCGACCCACTAACTTGTGTATGTAGGATGCTTGCTGTCTTTGTGAATCTTGCATGATTGTCTGTGTATAACCAACTGTGTCTTATTTGTTGTTACTATTATATGTGATACTGTGTATATTGAGACCTTAAGTAGTCTCCAGGGTTGCTGATAACCCACATGGCGTGTTGTTTGCCCACTGAGACTTCGGGTAGACTCCAGGGTTGCTGATAACCCATAGGGCATGTTGTTTGCCCACTGAGACGTCGGGTAGTCTCTAGGGTTGCTGATAACCCATAACTGTTTATTTGTGATGTGTTGTGTGTGGTATTTTGGCGAACTCACTAAGCTTTGTGCTTACGATTTGTGGTTTAAATGGTTTCAAGTTTTCTTATAATGAAGGAGGGTCACGGTTCGATTGCATCGTATCAATGAGAGACTTGTGCACGTGATAACTTTTGACGATACTCTGATAAATGTGTTAAGATTAAATGGTCATATTTAAGATTTTGTAGTTGTGATTTGAATAAATGCTTAGATTTTTAATTCAAAAATTTTGGTTGAAATTTGGGGCGTTACAAAATCGTCGCGTTTTTGTGATTGGGTGGGAGAAATTGACCGTTAGAATGGTCACTTTTTTCAAATTTCATTTTTTTATTTAAAAACCATATATATTGTAATAACGTAAATTTTCAAACAAAATTTTCATTTTAATTTCACATAAATCTCATTAACACATTTAACAAAAATACCCAATTTGTCAAATTATCCAAACACATGATCAATTATTGAATAAAACCCAGGATCCTCAAAACATAACTCTTTCTCTGGTGTGTACAATCAAGCCGGCGCCTTCCTGCGATCATGAAAGGAACCTGAAACACATAACACATAACACGGTAAGCACGAAGCTTAGTGAGTTTCCCAAAATACCACACATATCTCATTAGCCTCTCATGGCTATAGCTCAATAAGACCCTCCGGTCAATGTGTCTCAGTAGGACCCACCGGTCCCACAACTCAGGTGGACCCTCCGGTCCTAACTTAGTAAGCTCAGAAATATACACATCATAAATCACAAAGACATAATGCAGGATATCACAATACTCAATATAAGCACATAAGACCCTCTGGTCACACAAAGGTTACCACTCTAGGTAAAGTATAGTGAGAAGACTCACCTCGAATGACGAACAACTCCTATAGATGCTGCTGCTGCACACCGGCCTCTAACACTGGACCAAGATCCAAAATTACCCAATTAGGAACTAAGTCCAAACTCCACTCATTAGGTCTAAAGGTAGTCCACTAACCAGCCCGTTAATAACCTAAAACCCACTGGGCCCACCAAGGCCCAATAATAAATGGGCTCTCCCGAGGCCCAACTCTCACATCTAAAAGGCAAGCCCAACTCAAAGGCCCAAAACACATATATAAATATTCCTCTGGTCCAAAACTCTATTGCAACCGGCCTAAACTCCAGGCCCAACACTCAAGGCTCAAAATGAGACTTAGCCCAAAAGTCCACAGTGAGGTTACGCGGGGCGTACCTCTCCTGGTACGCTCAGCGTACTCACGTGTCCAGGTTGGCCATCGGGGACACTTTCAGTATGCGGGGCGTACTAGAATTACGCTCAACGTACGACCCAGCTTCACTCTTTCCATTCAGTTAAGACCTTGGCTCAAATCACAGATCTGGACTCCCTAATAGCTCTTACTCCATAAAGTTAGTGACTTTAAGCCTTTGCATGGCTGATAAGGTCACAAACACACAAAACTCTCACTTTCTTAGCTCAAAATACTCATATCTCATGTATGGCTTGATCCCAACGTCCAAGTCCTGATTTTTATGACACAACACCACAAAATACACTCAAAGGGCGTTGATCATAGAGTCTGGAGCTCAATAACTCATAAAGTCTCCAACTTTTGGGATAAAACCCTAAAATACTCCACTATGATGCATAAATCAAAAGAGTGAGAAAGCTTGAAGCTTTATACCTCTATATGAAGCTCCCAACACAGATATGCTTAGATCCAAGGGCCTGGACTCTCACTACTTCTTCTCCAAAGCTTCTTCTTCACTCCAAGAGCACACAAAGTTACTCAAAGGCTCTCAAATGCACTCACAAGCTGTATGAACGAAGGTTTAGGGTTTTGGAGGGTTTGTTGACTGAGAATGGTGGCAAAAAATGAGGCCATCTCATTCTTTATATAGGGCACCTCCCCTTATTTAGGGTTTCCTTCTGTGCCTAGTACGCCCAACGTACTAGGTGGCTCTGCTTAAAAGTCACGCACATGAGTACGCTAAGCGTACACACACGTACGCCCAGCGTACTCCGCTGCCACCTTTTTCAATTAAAGGACTTATCTTGCCCAATCTTCAAACTGTCATAACTCCTTTGTTATAAGTCCGTTTCCCATGAACCTCATATCCCCGGAAAGGTGACGAGAAGCCCTACGCTTCAACTCGTTGCAGCCCCGAGACTTCCTCATGCCCGGTTTGCAGTCCACGAATCCCTAAATCACGGACGATCCAGAACAAGATGTTACATATATACATATCTTTTTTTACTAAACCCACTCACATTTCTTTATATTTTACATCTTTCTTTCAAAATCTCTCAACACGCCATCTTCCAAAAAGTCTACGGACGTCAAAAAACATTATGATAATCAGTTTTATTTTCTACTTTTGTTTTCCAAGTTTTTAATCGTTTTATTTATTTATTTATTTATTTAAGTTTAGGTTTAAGACTTTTAGTTTTTTTTTCTAGGTTTCTAGGTTTTTTTTTAATATCATGTTATGTTTTTTTAAGTGATGTAATGTAACGGATTTTAATTTTTAATTAATGAAATGTTATGTTTTTTTATGAAATTAAAGTTTTTATTTAAATTAAATTTTTTTAAAAAATAAAGTGTGACACCACTCCTTAGGTGTGACAAAGAACCACACTTTTATGGTAAAAAATGATGTGACGTTTATGTGTTAGTAAGGGAATGCAGTTTCAGTGGCGGAGCCACCTTAGGACCAGGGTAGGCCCAGACCCACCTTCAATTTTTTTTTTGTGTGTGTGTTTAGAAATAACATGTTATATGGGTGCAAGTTATTTGAAAATCCTTTCTAGATCAATTGGCAATGAATGCGTATTCTAATCCGTATTCTAATCCATGACTTTACATTTTGTTTTTTTTAAGTAATTCATTTTTAAAGTTACATTTTGGCCTTCATATTTATAAGTTCAATTCTTTTAGTAACATAGTTTTCAAAATTTACTCACACCTCAAATTTTATAAATTTGTATAATTCTATTTTTAAATAATTTAATTTAGTTTTTAGTGTTTTTTTAGATTTATTTTTCTTATATATAAAAAATTGTATTTAGAGGGTCATTTTCACTTTTCGCATAGGCCTTTAAAATCAATAGATCAGCTATATATATATATATATATATATATATATATATATATATATATATATATTATTTTAAAAGGAACACCCTAATTTTTTTTTTACTCCGTCCCTATACAGTTTCGAGGACACCACTCCCTCAGTCTAATAGTACATGTTTTTGGTACTAGTATTGTTACCCATGATACTCCATACTAACTTTCATAATTTAGATAAATGCCGTCCTATATATTTAAAGGGTATTGTAATACATATTGTAATACGTATCCCCTCACGCATGTAAATCGTCACTATTTCATGTCGTTAGTTTCGGACACCCCGTGAGATATTGCGCACCCCTACAGAATATAGCAATCATTTTCCATTCAAACATGGACAAAAATATAAGCCAATTTTCAATTATATTTTTTACCTCCCACTTTAGAATCACTAAAATAACATAAGTACCTTTGTTTTCTGCTTGTCTTTTTCACATTGGTTCCGACTTCCGACTGACATAATTACCTACTCAGATTGTGATCTTTCAGTGCTAATGTTTCCATTTTAAATGCATCGATGCCTGTACACGTACGTAACTCGAGTCATCGGTTTTAGAACATAACGACTCTATTCTTATTTGTTCATAGCTTCATCGGAAAAGAACTTGCATAATGGTAGATGGTTCACTTTATGCACCTCTGCAAGCTAATCCACCATCTGAAACGAACGAAAATGTTACTCCGATGGCAAATGCTGGAACGTTAAGTAAGTTCACGTTCTGGTGGCTGAATCCGTTGCTAATCAAAGGAAAAAGTAAAGTTCTTGACGACAAAGACATCCCAAAGTTACGAAAAGAAGATACAGCAGAAGAATGTTATTCCAGATTCATGGAGACGATGAAGAAACGAAGAGAAAAAAGTGTTTCCGGTGATCGTAGTTGTTCCGATCCGGCGATTTTCTCAACGTTGTTCGTTTGGCAAACGAAAAAGCTCGTAATCACTGGGTTTTTTGCGCTGATAAAAGTCCTCGCTATGGCTTCAGGTCCTTTGATTCTTCGAGCTTTCATTCGATTTTGTCAAGGGAAGCAGAGTTTCGAACACGAAGGGTATTTTCTGACGTTAGGGTTATTTCTAGCGAAATCTCTGGAATCGATATCGGAGAGGCAACTGAAGTTTCGGAATAGAGTCATCGGACTCCAAGTGAAATCGATGTTATGTGCAGCGATTTATCAGAAGCAACTCCGGCTATCAAACGATGCTAAACTGAGTTACTCCCCCGGTCAAATCATGAACTACGCCACCGTCGACACTACCAGAATCGGCGAGTTTCCGTTTTGGTTTCATCACATATGGACGATCGGTCTTCAGATCAGTCTAGGGATTGTCATAATCTATTATTCAGTCGGAGTAGCCACGATTGCAGCTTTGTTAGTGATCATATCAACGGTGGTCGGAAACATTCCGTTGGGTAAGTTGCAGCATAAGCACCTAACGAAGCTCATGGCGGCGCAAGACCGGCGGCTGAAGGCCATAACAGAGTCGATTTCAAACATGAAGGTTTTAAAGCTGTACGCTTGGGAGACGCATTTCCGTGAGGCAGCCGGAAAGTTAAGAAACGAAGAGATGAAATGGTTGTCGGCGGTTATCTCTCAAAGAGGACTTTTCATGCTTATGTTTTGGTCGTCTCCGGCGATTGTATCGGTGGTGACGTTTTGGATATGTTATTTGTTGGGAATTGAGCTTGATGCGAGTAACGTGTTTACGTTTCTGGCAACGATTCGGATCATTCAGGAGCCGATTCAGAACATTTCTGATGTTGCCGCGGTGTTTATTGAAGCAAGGGTTGCATTAAGTCGTGTTGTTGAATTTTTACAGGCGCCGGAGTTGCAAAAAGAGGGGAAGAATCATGTAAAGGTGGAGGATCGATCTTTGATAATCAAGTGTGAGTCGATTTCGTGGATTGATGATTCTTCAAAACCGACTCTGGGTGATGTAAATCTTGAAGTTTTGATCGGAAAAAAAGTGGCGATATGCGGCGAGGTTGGGTCTGGTAAATCGACTCTTATATCCGCCATTCTTGGAGAGGTTCCCAACATAAAAGGCACCGTAAGTTTTTAATTTTGAGCAATTAATATCTGAAAATTATTGTGCTAGTCTTTGTGTTTGAGCTTTTGAGATCTCAATGGGCTATATTTGACAAATTTTTTTTTTTTTGGTGTTAGAAGCGTTACATAAATAGATATAAGTTTTTTAAATATATAAAATTTAAAAGCTAAAAAAATCATGTATTCGGATTGTAAAATTACACGAATAGGCATCTAGTTAAAATAACTTTAGATTGTAAACTTTTTGTTTAAAGTAAAAGTAAAAATTTTAAGTTTTTACTTCCGAACGTAGTTGTTTTTTAAAATAAGATTTTCTCAAAAGCTAAAAGTTCAAAAACTTTCAGAAGCTGGTTTGCCGAGTATACTTTTAATATCTCTCAACACATTACAATACATAACTTTTTCTCATTTTTGGTGTAACCGGTTTTTAGCCACATTTTTGTTATAGCCATTGATTCATTTTCCAACCTATGGTGCAAGAACGTGTTGGGTTGTAGTGATTTAACACCAAATTTTAACCAACAAAAAAAAAAGAGTTTTGGTGTTAGGGTTGTAGATGGCATAAACCCTAAACATTCGTGTTCTTAGTTTGTTATTGGATTTTCGATTTTCAGGTTGAAGTTAATGGGAAGGTGGCATACGTTTCACAAACAGCATGGATACAAACAGGGACAATTCAAGACAATATTCTATTTGGAAAGTTGATGGATGAGGAGAAGTATCAAGAAGTAGTAACAAAATGCTCACTTGAAAAAGATATCGATATGTTCCCATTTGGCAATCAAACAATCATTGGAGAAAGAGGCGTAAATCTAAGTGGTGGACAAAAGCAACGAGTTCAGCTTGCCCGGGCATTATATCAAGATGCAGATATATACCTCTTGGATGATCCATTTAGTGCGGTTGATGCACATACTGCAGCCAGTTTGTTCAAAGTAATCATCGTTCATACTTTTTTATTCAATATGTGAAAAAAAAATTGTTATTGTTGGTGGGTCCCATATTGGCTACACAAGGGCCAATCAATCTCTATATATTTTGGGGTCTTCTATCTCTTTCTCAAAAGTTTGTTTGGAGAGAAAACCAAGGACTTTACATAACTAACAATTAACATGCTTCTTCTTTTCTTAGGAATACATCATGGAAGCTCTATCGAGTAAGACGGTGTTACTTGTGACTCACCAAGTCGATTTCCTGCCTGCTTTTGATGATATTCTGGTGAGCTACTTATAAACTAGGATTTCTTCTATATATGAAATGGCTTTTAGTATTTATTTGGTTGGATGGAATAGAATATAAAATGAATGGAATGATGGAAGTAATGAAATAAACAATTTAAGTGAATAAATGATTATGTTTGGTTGGTATTAATGGAATGAAATGAACTTTAATATAGTATGTTGATACAAGGTATAGTTTTAACATATTCTACAAGTTATTTAATTAAAGCTCGTAGTTATTAACCTTTTAAAAAGTAAAAAAACTAAAAATAGTAAAGACTCATTAAACCCCAAATATGATTATAACAAAAAGAAGCTTCCAGTTAATTTAGAAAATAAATTATAATACTACTAAAATCTTGGAAATTAAGAAAAACCTTTTGTTTCATTAAAAAATTTATATATAAAAATGAGTTTTAATATAAATTTTCGTTCTATTCTGGGATGAATGGAAAAAACACCCTCTCTCTGTAGGAAGACTCTAACCTTAGCACCAAAAATAACATCAACATGATGATTTTTAAGAGCATATCTTTTTCCAGCTCCAACCAAACATTAAAAACATCACATAAGAATATTATATTCAATATTTTAAAAATAAAATTCCGTATTTTGTTAACACTATATTATTTTATTGATAAACTAGTCTAACTAGATTACACAGGTCGATTAAAAGGAAAAATTCAGTAGGAAGGAGTAAACATAAATGATTTATAAAACGATATTATCCAATAGTATTTTATAAAGTACAATGCTATAAAAGGATTGCTTTTAAAAGTGCAATGCTATATTTCATTGTTTCTTTTGTAATTTCTAGAAAATATCACAATGGTTAAAAATATATATTATAAAGTACAATGCTATAAAAAAAGATGTTTGTAAAAGTATAAATGCTATATCTGGTCAAAAAAATGGTATAAAGTACAATGCTATAAAAAAGATGTTTGTAAAAGTAAAATGCTATATTTGATAGTTTATAAGATTAAGTTTCTAAACAACTTTCGAAAATCGTCAAAAAAAGCATCTTATAACTTACAATGTTATAAAAGGATAGTTTCTGAAAATACAATGCTATATTTGATACTTTTATTTTCTCAATAATTTACTCATTTCAAAACTATCAATTGATATTTTAATGATTCCGTTGACAGTTAATGGCAGATGGGAAGATCATTCAAACAGGAACATATGATCAATTGCTTAATACATGTAAAGAGTTCCAAAACCTCGTGATTGCACTCAGCAATACTTCTGGTTCAGATAATCAAGCAACTGATGATTCTCAACAATTATCTAAATCCCCAAATCAAGAAATTAAAAAAATCAACCCTAAAGAAAAGATGGAATCAAATCATTCGTTAGGAGAACAACTGATTAAGAAAGAAGAACGAGAAGCAGGGGACACTGGTTTAAAACCCTACAAACAGTATCTTAGCCAGAGCAATGGATTCTTCTACTTCGCTATGTCAGTTTTGTCACATTTCTCGTACATCATCGGATATTTTCTTCAGAATCTATGGTTGGCTAAGGAAGTACAAGGTGGAAGCGTAAACCAGAGGAACATGTTGGTTGTATACATGCTCCTGGGTTTTGTGATGATGTTCTTTTTATTCGGTAGATCTTATTTTATCGTTAAATTAGGGGTTAAAACATCTATTGCAATGTTTTCCAAGCTGATTACATCTCTTTTCCGAGCACCCATGGCCTTCTATGATTCGACACCTGTGGGAAGAATCATTAGCCGGGTAATTAGTCTTTTTACCTAAACTTGTACATATTACCATTTTGTCCTCACATATGGGTGGGGCATACCTTTTCTTTTTTCCTTACATAAAACGCTCCAAAAAGAACTTATGATCAATGTTTTAAAACCTGGGTTTTTAGTTGACCCGGTGTGATGACCGGTTGAACCGCCGGGTTAACCCGGTTTATGGTCTTTTTCTATTTTCATATATTTTTACTTTCCCTCATAATGTATAAACATGTAAACCAATAATTTGATGTCCACAAAGTTTAAATATTGAAAAACATTGAAGAAGCCGCAAACGGCTCGTTGTTTTGGCGTTCGCTACGTGTATTAAACTATCCAAACCCTATTAAAACGGGTCAATCCGGTTTTAACCGGTTCGACATAACGGTTCGACCGCGGTTTAGGAGAAACCCGGCCGGTTCGATCCGGTTCGTATTTTTACAAAAAACCGTTTTCAATTGACCCGCCTTCTACCCCGGGTCACGGTCCAACCGGTTGAACCGGCCGGGTCGACCCGGGTTTTAAAACATTGCTTATGATCCAATGAGCTACAAGAAACTTAGGAATCTACTTTTGTTAGGTGTCATCTGATCTCAGCATTGTGGATCTTGAATTGGCAATGAAGTTTACAGTTGGCATAGGCACAACGATGAACACGTACTTTAGCTTTGGAATCTTGACATTCCTAACTTGGCCTATCTTGTTCATTATCATTCCAACGGTTTATGTCACAATACTTCTACAGGTAAAAAAAAAAACGTATTCCTAGACTTCTATATACCTATGCATGTAATACCTAACAAATAAGCCATGACAAATTTGTAAAAAGTTAAAGACTTAATCTGTAAACCCTAATTTTCTCTGACTTTCTCTATTAAGTCGTTATTTCTAGGTTAAGTGAAAAAGAAACACTCATGTACTCTTTATTTTTTCACACAGAAATTCTACTATGCATCTGCAAAGGAGTTGATGCGATTAGATGGCACAAGTAAGTCATTAGTAGCAAGCCATCTTGCACAATCCATTGCTGGAGTGGTTACCATTAGAGCTTTTGGTGAAGAAGACCGATTCTTTTTAGAACATTTGCACCTTATTGACAACAACTCAAGTCCATTTTTTCATAGTTTTTCAGCCAACGAATGGTTAATCCAACGTCTAGAAATGCTATGTGCTCTTATCGTTTCAAGCTCTGCCTTAGCCATAACTTTGCTTCCGTTTCAAGCTTCTGACTCAGGTTAGTGATTACAAACGATGATGTCCCGATGTAATCACAAGTGGCAGATGAGACCTTGTTTAGCCAATGTGACACTAACAAAAACGATGATGTCTCGATGTAATCACAGGAATCATTGGAATGGCTCTTTCGTATGGGCTCTCATTGAATATTTTCCTAGTTGTTTCCGTTCAATTCCAATGTCAGCTATCGAATTTGATAGTTTCGGTTGAAAGACTAGAGCAATACATGCATATCCCTAGTGAAGCCCCGGAAATCATAGAAGAAAATCGACCTTCAAGAAGCTGGCCAAGTACTGGTAGAATTGTTATCCAAAACCTAAAGGTACGTAAGAATTTCATTACGTTGTTCACTATAAATAACCTTTCAAGATATGGACTATTTGGTTTTTTTGTACAATGTAGATAAGATATCAACCGAATTCCCCATTAGTTCTTCAAGGAATCAGTTGTGTATTTGAAGGAGGAAACAAAATCGGAATTGTTGGAAGGACAGGGAGTGGAAAGACAACTTTAATTAGTGCTTTGTTTCGATTAGTGGAACCTACAGAAGGAAGAATCATTATAGATGAATTAGATATTACTTCAATTGGACTCCATGACCTTCGATCAAATTTTGGTATTATTCCACAAGAACCAACTTTATTCAGTGGATCCGTTCGATATAATCTTGATCCTCTTGGAGAACATAGTGATCAAGAACTATGGAAGGTAACATATTTCAATTGGACACATGCATGCTAATTAAAATTATTAACAAATGGTAACACTTATTGTCTTCTAGGTTCTAGAAAAATGCCAACTTCAAGAGGTGATTCAAGATAAAAAAGAGGGGTTGGATTCGTTAGGTAAGAAGCTTATTGACTTGTGTTTTGTTTAGTATCATGGAATGGGATTACATTTTATTATAATGTTTGTGTTGAAGGAATGGAATGAGCCAGTCATTCAAACATGTTTTTATGTAGAATTAGAAAACCAAATAAAAAAATTGGTACTTTATGGAAATAAATTTTATTCAAATGTTGAATAAATTACATACAAAAATATTTCATATCATTTGAAATCCATGAAATATGTATTTCATAGTTAAAAAAAGTTTATTAATCAATTTAAGAAACTGCTAAAAAAATTATTTCACATTAAATACCATAAAATCTTCAATAGAGTGATAAACTAAAAATTAGCTTTACTTATTCTTGGAAACTATTGAATTGAAGTTTTGGTACCTTTTAAAAATATTATTGATTTATTGTTCAAGATTATATAAATAAAATTAATTAATAATAGTTAACCTTTGGGCTTATATCATTCCATTCCATCAAGGTATGATATAAAAACACCCCTCTCCCATGGAATGAATATCAGCAAAGGAAACAGAATCACATTCCATGAGTACTCCATTATATTCTTAAGTAGAAACCAAACGCGGATTTTTTTTTTTTCATTCAATCCTAATGCTCCATTTCACTTCCTCTTCGATTAATGCATACACCAAACACTACATTATCCTTTTACAATTTGTTAGATTAAAGATTTGGGGGTTGTATAATTGTAAATACAGTTGTGCAAGATGGATCAAATTGGAGTTTGGGACAACGACAACTGTTCTGTTTAGGAAGAGCTCTTTTGAAAAGGCGAAAGATACTTGTACTTGATGAAGCCACAGCTTCAATCGATAATGCAACTGACACAATTATTCAAAAAACCATTCGAGAAGAATTTCAAGATTGCACAGTAATTACAGTTGCACACAGAATACCAACTGTTATAGACTGCTCAATGGTACTTGTTATGAAGGATGGTGAGTTTTTCACCTTTTTTTTAATTTTCATTCTTTAGCGGGGCTTTTTTTTTTTCCTTTCCAGCTGGAAGGGAAAGAAAAATTGAAGTATATGTTTTTTAATTTGTTATGCAACTTTTAATATTTAATCAAATAACAAATTTTAGCCATTTCTAACCCAACATGGTTTCTTACAGCATTTTAGTATTGGTAAATAATGAAAGACTAAATTTAGTGTTAACGATTCATTTGCAATATACTTGGTGTTTTTTCTACTGTTTGGTCTCTTCAAATTTAGATATTATGAATTATTACTTTCTTTAATTGCATAATGATATTTTAAATGTAATAATAATAATAATAATAATAATAATAATAATAATAATATTAATTTTATGATTCAAACTCATTAAAAAAATTATAAGCAAATTAAATTTAAAAGCATTCTAATTTGAGCAATTTTGTGGCTTAATCACCAATACACTAACTTTTTCCGATCAAACCTTTCAATATTTTTCAAATTAAGAACTTTGACCTGCCAGCATTGTCCAAAGTTTTTTTTTTTTTTTTTTTTTTTTGTAATAATATGATAATTAATTTGAAGTTAATTATGTACGAATAATTAATTTTGTTTATAGTTGTCAAATATCATAGTTTATAAAGTTTATATACAAAATGTGAGTCAAATTTGTTAAAAAAAAATTTCCGATCAAACCTTTCAACATTTTTCAAATTAAGAACTTTGACCTGCCAGCATTGCCCGAAGTTTTATTATTATTATTATTATTATTATTATTTATTATAAATAATATGATAATTAATTTGAAGTTAATAATGTACGAATAATTAATTTTGTTTATAGTTGTCAAATATCATAGTTTATAAAGTTTATATGCAAAATGTGAGTCAAATTTGTTAAAAAAAACTAATATTATTATAAATCCATGTAAATTAGAAGTAATGAATAGATTCATATTATTCTTTTATGTTAAAAATACTCTAATGGATTGGCTATCAATCATTGTTTATATAAAAAATTTACATCATTTTGATGTAAAAATATGGTTATTGCTTCTACTTTACAGGAAAGGTGATGGAATATGAGAAGCCCACAACATTGATGAACGAACCATCTTCATTATTCGCGCAACTTGTTAACGAATACCGGTCACAACATAAAACCTCAACATCCGATAAGATCGCCTGACCTCATAAGATGCAATGCCAATAAATAATAAGATTTATTGTACATGATTTTCAAATCAAGTGAGACCTTATAAGATGCAATGTAATTCAATAATAAGATTACTTCTCAATGATTATTCAAACAACTAAGAGTAATTACTCTCAATTTTTATGCCGACTCTATGCTTCTTCATTTTAAGCTTCTATCACAACAAATGAAATGGTTTGATTCACTAAGATTTTGGATTTTCTTTTAGAGATTTGATTTTGAGGACATAGGGTTCGAACTCAAAATTTGTTAAGAATGTTGTTGGACTCGTTATGGGGTTGGAGTTTGAGGGGTTTGGAGATAGAGGTTGTGTAGGAAAAATATTAGGCAGTTTGAGATGATTAGTAATGCATATTTTAATATTTTGAGATGATTAGTAATGTATGTTGGGGGAGTAGTAAAAGTAGGGTGACGGTGGAGAACCTGATTCCTTATAGATCATGTAATTTCACTTTCCGATCTAATATTTCCATCCTATGTCTGAGTTACAGAAATCCAGTTTAGGATAATCCAAAATGACACTTGTGTATCTAGGCACAGAAACACAAGCTAAATCGCCAGAGAGTTCTGAGTTTGTTTAAGAAGAAGAAGAGCTAAGAAGGTTCTGTTTACAACTCAAAAGAGGAGTCGTATATATGCATCACAAATTAAGGTTTAATCTTCTAAATTAGTTAGGAGAATCTCAAATTTAATGGCTTAATCAATGGTTTCAATAATGAAACTAATTCAAATTTTTGAAGACCTTTTGGGGTGCTGCCCCAAACCTCGCCATGGCTCTGCCCCTTGGACCTCGCTAGGGCGCTGCCCTTAGGACCTTACAAGGGGAAGCGACCTCCTTGACCCCCGCTATTCTGTCTCACCAGCTTATAACTCGATCTTATATATGCATGCATTCCACATTCACCAAACATATAATATAGAGTATAAATGATAAGCCCTTTAGCTCACATGTTAGTTCCAATTACCCAAAATGCCCGGTGACACTAAACTCACCAACAATCCTCCCCTATTTTAGTGTAACCTATGAAATAACATAAAATTCCCTAAACAAATCAAACCAGTACATAAATGAAAATATCGAAACGATTGAATTCTCATCTTAGTATCAAAAATTCAAATACTAGAGAATCAAGGTGTTCTAAGAATTGAACCCTTTAACCCAACTGAATACCTGGAAGTAAAATACATAATAGTTTATTAAATTTCTAGATAAATACAACTTGGCATTATTATAAAGCCGTGTGTCCTAATCCTCTCATGATTGTATCAAGGCCAAGTCCCCAACCTCTTGAAATGCGGCTACACTTCACAATCACGTAAGTAATTCCTTTACTTCATGTATTTGTACATACATTTTTTCAAAGGAATTGTTAAGAAGTTAAACTTCAACCTTGTCAACTTGTAGAACCGAACACATACATGGGATGTATACTTTATGTGTCCCAATCTATAAATGTGAGCTTTACACATTGAATTCAACTCATAATGTCATATTAGAAGGGAATTGGGTGTCTCACCATTACATAATTAAATGGACTTTAATCCCATCTCAATAACAAACTTGTGCACTAAGTCTCTTGTTAGACCTTTAGTCAACCGATCTGCCAAATTTTGTTGCGATTTCACAAACTCTACCGAAATCACACCATTCATGGTTAGTTCACTAATCATATTATGTCTAACACCTAAGTGTCTAGACTTGCCATTGTAAACCTGGTTGTAAGCTTTAGCCAAGGCGGCCACATTATCACAAAGGATATATATATATGGGTGCTATAAGCTTTGACCACAAAGGAATCTCATATACTAAATTCCTTAGCCATTATGCTTCTTTACCGGTAACAACTAACACAACAAACTCAGATTCCATTGTCAAGTTTGTAATGCAAGATTGCTTCTTGGAAGCCTACGAAATGGCACCTCCCCCAAGCAACACTACAAGAAAAATACGATTTTGCTAGGGAAGGTCGCTATGGAACGTATTTTCGTTGTTTATCTGCAATGGATCGTGCTATGGAATGTCTTTCCATAGCAATGTTGCTACCACATTATCTATGGATTTTATTTCTGGTAGCGAGAATGAGACTTGCTAGGGAAAATGCTACCGACTCCAGGTATTATGCTACCGATATTTCTATGGAACAAAAATTCGTAGCAATTTTCAACGACATTTGTTACGGAATTACTTTCCGTTGTACTGCTGCTATGTAATTAATTATCGTGGTTACTATGCAATGGAGTTTGTGACGGAAACCAATTCCATAGTTGATTTGCTATGGAAGTACCATTCGTAGGTATTTGCTAGGGAATTCTGCTATGGAATTTGATTTTGTTTGCTTGTTTTGCTATGGAACAAAAAGCCTAGCTAATTTGTGACGACATTTGTTACGAAATTATATTCCATAGCAACGTTGATAAGAAGTATATACTTGTAACCATTGACAAAGTATACACTATATAATTTCACTTTTTTGAATGGCATTTTGGAAAGGTCAGATATATACTTGTTGTTTATCCGGATCTTACGTGCCTATATGAAAAATGGTAAAACACTTAACTATACTTCATCACCAAAATAACATGGGTTTTAACTATACTTCATCCTACTCAAACAACATAGCAAGAAAAAATGACTAAAATTTCCTTTTAACAGAATGATGTAAACATAAACCCAAAATAAAATTATATACAACTTCATATACAATACAATATGAACACTAATATTCAAAGTCCAATCTATTATCAACCATTTATATTTTTAAGAAATATACAAAACCTACCATACTCTACATACCAACGACAAACCATGCAATATCTTTGTCGATCCTCATCCTCTTCATGGCCTATCGTAAATGCCCCTTTAACAGAATGATGTGGGTGTTCACATTGGAATGTGATGTCGTTCGTTGTAAGTCTATGAACAACATCAACAGCCCGCAACAACTCTTTGGCACTATCAACAACACCCGTGTACTCCCCCATCATCCGGAACTGCCCAGCCAAAATAGACATCAAGTAATTGTAAACCTACACATTAAAATAACCATCAATTAATAAACAGAAGTTACTTTAGTTTAGCTGGAAGACGCGTCTTTCATCTTTCCCGAAGTCGCAGGTTTGAATCCTTCATCACACTGAGGAGGCCCTCTTGAAATGTGGATCATTCCAAGCAAATAAATTGCCTCAAGATGATCTTCATCTGCTTCTTGTCTCAACAAAGTCAATCCTAAATCAAAATTGCCATAATAAAAGAACTCATCATGTTGACAGAATAACTGTAACATCTCAACCGTCAGGTATCATTCCATTTAGATTTTATGTTTTAAGGTCTACTCGACGAGTTGACGCTGTGACTCATCGAGTAGCAGCGGGCCAGGACACGTCGTTTAATGAGAGACTCGACGAGTCGACATGGGGGACTCGATGAGTAGGAGCTGGCAGTGGAAACCCTAGGTTTCAGGGTTTTTGCACCATATATATTGGACCATTAGCGCCTCCCACTTTCCTCTATCACCCCTTGAGAGCCAGAAACCCTAATTTCCGTGAGTGTGAGCTTGGAGAGTGTTTTGGAGCTTTGAGAAGTGATTTTGTGAAGGAAACTTGTAGATCAAGAGGCTAGCATCAAGGATTTCATGTGGATCCAGAGTCTACTTCAGTTTGGGCACACCTTGGAGGTAATAAGCTGTTACCTTGACCTCTTTTCTTCTAGAATCATTCATATATGGAGGCTAGGGCCTTCTTTAGTTATTCATTAAGGGATTTTGGTATGTGAGCTAGATCTGAAGCTGAAACTTTAGATCTGAACCTCTTTTGAGTCCTAAGTCCATAAAGTTTCCAGCTCTTGCAAGGATGAGACTCTCCTAAGGTGTAAAGCTCCATTAGAAGATTAGATTGGTCATTTAGAGCCTTTAGGGCCTTGCATGCGTGTAAAGTTTGCAACTTTACGTGATAAACATGCCTTAGAAACTTGGATCTGTAATCTGGAACCTTGGCATGGCTTAAAAAGTGTCTGCATGGATGAAGGTCTGCAAGGACTCGGCGAGTTGCATAGTCAACTCGGCGAGTCATATGAAGATGGTCATGAACTCGTCGAGTTGATGAACAAACTCGGCGAGTCCTTTGAAGATTGCCTTGAACTCGGTGAGTCGTTGGAAGACTCGGCGACTCGGCTAGGGTTTCTCCCAATTCTTGGACACGTATGAACTCGGCGAGTTAAAGGGGAACTCGGCGAGTTAAAGGGGAACTCGACGAGCCAATCAAGGATTTCACGACTTCTCGAGTTCAGGAAGGACTCGACGAGTTGGTGAACTACACTCGACGAGTCGAGTCAACATAGACTGTTGACTTTGACTGTGGACTTTGACTTTGACCAAGAGTTGACCAGTTGTCTTCTGAGGGTATTTTGGTAATTTGGAAACTTATGAAAAAGGGTTTTATGGTAGCTATAGGTGGGGGAGTTCGCGTGGGTGATCCAGGAGTCGAGCTTTCTAGTTTCAAACGACAGTTGCGAGTGAGTTATCCTCACTATACTAAGGGGTCTAAGGCACCAAGGCCGGCCCATTTGATATGTTATCTTGAGTTGTGTTAGATGCTGAGTATGACTTAGTGTTGCATGCTAGTGGGTATGCCTGTTAGGTAGGTCAGTAGGACTACCTGTGATGTTATATGATTATTGCATGCTCGATTCTTATGATTTATGTGTTTGTTATATGGGATGGGTTGAGGTTGTACTGCTTTGTGCGGTAGCCAACAAACCCTAGGAGCATTCCAGTTACGGGCTAAGGGAGACTCGTACTGTGGGCTAGGGAGCATTCCAGTTACGGGCTGAGGGAGACTCGTACTGTGGGCTCGTGGGTATTACAGTATGTAGGGTTGTGGACCCGTTATGTGCTCATCTGTTCAGTTTATTATGATATGATTGTGTGGACTGTATGTGTATCAGTATTTTGGGGGTAACTCACTAAGCTTTCGGGCTTACAGTTTCAGTTTATTGTTTCAGGTACATCAGGGGATCGCGGTAAGGCGAAGGCATGATCGTACAACTCCTCACTTTATGTTTATGTTTCTGGGATATACTCTGATAAATAATATTTTGAA